GGACTATTGTCAATCTAGTCTCTCACTAACCTGCTCTGTGATTTTTAGGTTACATCCATTTATTACTTTCTGCCTTGGATTACCCATGTCTCTCATTTTGCCTAATTTCTGAAAAAAATGTTTATTGGGGTATTGACAAAAAGGGGTGAAATGGCCTGTTGTAAGTATTTTGAACTATAACAAATTCTTTTTCATAAACTGGATGCTGAAAACTGTAGTGTGTGTTTTTTTTTTTTTTTTTTTTTTTAATTTTCCCCTTCAGGAATCCCATGTGTTTTTTGGAGCAACTGTTTTAAAACTAGTTAACTGATGAGAAAAAATCAAGGTTGTGTGTGTGTGTGTGTGTGTGTGTGTGTGTGTGTGGAATATCAGTGTTGAAGTAGAGACTAAAGACTGAAATATAGGATGGTTCTGGCAAGGTATAAGTATGTAAATGCATTATCAATATTTACACATGGCTTATGTTATATTCAGAACTTTTCAAATGGTAGTCACCTGTTTAAGAAGCATTGATGTAACTGAAAGCAGAATTTTGTGTTTTAGCAGATGCTCAAAAAGAGGAAGTTTGAATGCAAATGCATTTATAAGCTACAATCTTGTTACTAGGAAAAAAAGCCCATAATTTGGTTGTAGAACAGCTTTAATTATAGGTCTGTATTCTTAAACATCACTGTAGTGTGTGTAAATATTTGGAGGGCTTGCGTATCCCTAGTATTTTATGGTACTCTTTATGTCAGCAGAAGTGCTAATGTTGCCAGTATAATTACTGGCCAAAGAAGCCACCTCAAGTTCTGCATTTGTCTAGCACACAGGGCCTTTGTGTTTCAGGTGAGTGCAAACATTGGAGAGATGAGCTGTATTTTTGTTTGTTTTTTTGTTAGGGGAGGAATGTTGGGGTTGGAACTTTATAAAGAGTGGCTTGCTTATGATGAGTGTTCATAGGGGCTCATTACTGCAATCGATTGATGTGATATAAAGCCTCACGTCTCAACAGCTGGCTTGATTCCCATCCAGAATGCATATGACTGAACAAATGGAATAGCTGAGGGCTCTGTTGTCTATATAAAATGCATATGTGGTTTCTCCTCTGTTCCTAATGCCTCCTTTCACAAAAGCAACAAGCACTGTAGTTTGCATCCATGTGTTAGCAGACTCCATGGAAAAGCTAATGATCAGATACAGGGGCATGAATTCCTTAGCACTCACAAGCCCTAAGATGGAAGTGTGATCTCTAAGTCATCACTGAGGTATTCCAACAGCCTAGTGCGGGGAAGTTTCTGTTGCCACAACTGTGCATGTTCCATGGATAAAAATAGTACTTCTCTCTGAGTCTGTCTGCCATCCTTAATAAGCATTTAACTTACGTCACACAATTACATTAGAACACACTGTCTTTCAGTGATTTCTGTTTTATAATTCTAATTGATGGAGGCAAATGGAGTTTTTCTTTTATCATATCTATCTTTTATGTCTTATTAAGATATAGTCTGATGAGTGAAATAATCATCAGGACATCTGTGTAAAATACAGATTTGAAAAAAAAAAGAGCTTGAATGTGAACATGTGTTAGTTATCGCAGTCCTGAACCCTGGATAGAAGTGGGGGAGAGGGGAGTCACATCCAAGTTTCTAATTTACCACACTAAGCTAAGGAAACGTAAAACTACATGCTGGGACAATAACAGGCTCTAAAAGCATACAGTGGTTGTTATTTATTGTTTGTATTGCAATTCCAAAATGAGGGAGTGTCCCACTGTGCTGAGCATTGCGTGAACATAAGGGGCAGTCCTTAATATAGATGGCATGTAGATGGTTCCCCACCCCTGGGCTATAGTGTACTTGGACTTTCTGAAAGCTTTTGACAGGGTCGCTTATCAAAGGCTCTTAAGCTAAGTAAGCAGTCAGGGATTTTGACAGGGTCCCTTATCAAAGGCTCTTAAGCAAAGTAAGCAGTCAGGGATCACTAACTAGTGAAGAGACCAAAACCAAAAGATAGGACTAAATGGTCAGTGTTTACACTGCAAAGAGATAAATTGTGGTATCCCCCCAAGATCTGCCTCTGAACCAGTGCTGTTTAATATATTCATAAAGGTCTCTAAAAACATCACCTCAACGTACAGTGACAGTCAAAAAGCTAGCACTATAAGGAACCATTAGGAAGGGGATAGTTAATAGAACAGAAAATATAATGCCATTTTGTATACATCCTGAGGGCTTTTGTGGTTACCCCACTTCAAAAACATATATTAGAATTATAAAAGACATTAAGATGACCGACAAATGATTAAAGGTATGGAACAGAGTAAAATGAGTAAAGATTACAAAGACTGGGACTTTTCTATTTGGGAAAGAGATGATTCGGGTACCTCTACACTGCAGAGGAAGATTGAAGCTGCCACTGTCAATCTTACAGGGTTCAAATTAGCCGTTGAGTTAAGACAGCTAATTCGAACTGAGAGGGGTGCTCCTGTCGATGCCAGAAACCCTCATTTTGCAAGAGTAAGTGAAGTCAAAGGAAGAGTGTTTTTCCTTTGAGTTCCTACTGTGAAGACAGTGCCAAAAGTCGAGTTACGCAACTTCAGCTATGAAGTAACTTATCTTAATTCAACTTTGTATCTTAGTGTAAACATATCCTAAGAGTAGATATGATAGAGGTCTATATAATTTTTAGAGGGAATTTCACAGCTTCATATGAGGAGGGAATGGAAGGAGTATCCATTTTCTAATATGAACAGGTAAACTGAAAGCAAAGTTGAGTTTCTGAAATATCTGGCAGGAGGACATTTATATCTTTTAAAGCTATTCTGGGCACCCTACTTATTATATTTTTTGAAGTGATATTCTTAGAAATAGATTAAGCCTAATTCAAGAAATGTGCATAAGTGGTTCTTAAATGCAGTCAGCTTTGATGACCAGAGTCTGTGACACTCAAAAGAGTGACTTTGTAATGTAATTATTTTGCTCTTCATAGGGCCTGGACTTGTAAAGCTCCTGTCAATACTAATTTTGGAGAAAAATGGTCATCAGTTATTCTTGTTCTCCTCTAGAGCGTTTCTCCATCTTGCCCACTTTTTATCTAGCAATTTCCTGCCCAGAAACTATGTGAAGTTCTGGAACTGCTGGTGAAGACAGGTAGGGAAGTGAATGAGAGAGTGTTCTCACTGTTTTCAGTGAAATGATTAGTTCACAAATGTTGTTTGAGATTATTTTAAAGGATGTTAATCATATTTGAAGAAATCCTACATAAACATTTTGTCCATTGCAGATTGTGTAATACATATTTTGTAAAGATTTACAAACATCAGCTGAAAAAGGTACCTGCTGTTCAAGAATACGGTGTCATTTTTAGAGGCAGGTTTCAGAGCTAGATGTCTCATTGACCATGTCTGGTATGGCAGGGTCCTATGTTCCACTTACTTTATTCTACAAAATATTTACCAGAGTATATGAAAATTGGCATAACAAAACATTAATACTCAGCAAATACAGCTGAATAAGTGGGTTATGCCCACGAAAGCTCCTGATACTATCTATATTTTTTGGTTAGTCTCTAAGGAGCTACCGGACCATTCCTTATTTTTTAACATATGGAACAGTAAATGGCAGATTCTAGTTTTATAGAACAGATGCTTTTTAATAAAATAGGAGTGCCTGTAGGAGGGGAAGAGGAGGTATTTACCTGTAACTAGATGTTCTTCAAGATGTGTGGTCCCTATTTGTATTCCAAAGGAGGGTGTACATGCGCATCATGCATAGGAGCTAGAAGTTTTTCAGCCACAGTGTCCATTGATTTGTACGGTTGTCTTACAATCACCACATGCTCAATGTAAGGTTATAAGAAGCCATGCAGGGTGACACACCCTCAAGTCCCCCTCTTACCACTGCATAGAGAGTCTGCAGAAGAGGGGAAAGTGTGTGGATATTGGAATACAAATGAAGATCACACATCTTGAAGAACCTCCTGTTACAGGGTAAGTAATCTCCTCCTCTTCTGCAGGTGATGGTCCCTATATCATGTATTTAAAATGTGTCTGAATATGAAGCAATGATCAACTCACAGGGGGGTGTGAGGATGTGATGGGGAAGGCCTGCTACAAGCTGATGCATCCTAAAGTCATATTGATGACATTGTGTGCTGTGAAAGCATGGACAGAGGGCCCAATTGCTGCCCAGCCAGTCTGGTGCCAGGGCTCATCTGCCAGGGAGGCGGAGGTGGTTGCATACATTAATGTGGAGTTTTCAGTGATCCTGCCTCTGTGGTGTGGAGTTGGATTGTGTGCACATAGCAGTACGTAATGCACTTAGCGATCCAACAGGATACACATTGTGAGGAAAAGGCTGGATTTCTTGAGCATTCTGCAATGGCTATGAAGAAGCATAGGGAGGTATGAAATGCAGGAGTCCTGTCCACGTAGAAGGCTAGTGCCCTGTGGATGTCCAGAAATGCAGCATCCTGTCTACGGTTTTGGATGGAAGACTGGGAGGCAGATGGACAGGTTGAGATGAAACTCTGAGACAACCTTTGGGAGGAACTTAGGATGAAGGCACAGCAAAACCTTATCGTTATAGAAAACTGTATACATAGGGTCACCAATTTATTTAGCTGCTGGGCAGAAGTGATGGCTATCAGGAAGAGGACCTTCATGGATATGTGGGCAAGGAAACATGTAGCTAGTTGTTCAAATGGAGACTGGGTGAAGGTAGAGGTCCCATGGGGGAAGCAGTTCATCAGTCCCCTTAGGAATCAGGTAGTGATAGGCTGGGGAAAGACCAATTGACCATCCATGGGAGGGCGGAAGGTATGGAGTTTTATGAGGTGGACATAGCTCAAGCTGAGTGTGAGGCCTGAGTTCTTGAGTGCTAGGAAGTAGTCTAGGATGATGGACATGAAGGGGAAGTGGTGATTTTTGCACCCAGGAGGTGTTTTCAAGTATATCCCGCAAAATATACTGATTTACAGCATAGCATAGACAAAATCATTTAAAAACAGGCACATGAAAATTATTGTGTTTATATTTATTGTCAGCAATACATCAGTTATGTAAAAATAACCCATATGAAAATGTAAGACTTGTTACATTTTCACATGCCATCTATATTAACTGAATAAAGCTTAGTGACAATATACACAAATTTGCAGTAGTTGTACGTAAACATTTTGTGCATTAAAAAAGAATATACATAATTTAAAAAATAAAAATGCATTACACAATTTACAAATTAATATTAACCCAAAAAAGTAAACATTCCTCAGACAGCTGCCTCCTTATTCTACAAAATAAATATTCAAGTAAATTAAGTTAGGCAAAATAAACTCTTAACTTGCGCGAGAACGATAAAAGTAAAAGAAGATTTCAGTTTCATCCAAGTTATATTTTACAGTGATTTATACTGAGATTTAAGTGGGTCTTTTCAGATTACTATATTGAAAATTAGACTTTATTACACTTTGGTGCAGAAAGGGAATTTTAAAATGGGTGCATTGTAGTAAGTATTAAAAAAAAAAAAAGCTTGTGCAGTATCAGCAAAGCTTTTAAAAGAAACAGCTCCAGGACTCAAAGCAGACACAGTAATCTAGAAATTACAGACTTTTAAAGTAAATTACGAACCACCACACCAACAATGTCTACATAGCTATTTGCTAAATAAATTTAGATCATTGGAAACATTACTTGATCACTGAAACATTACTTTCACAAACTAACAATCTACAGTAGTGGCTGCTTTAGGCACTGGATTTGTAGAAGCACTCTGGTTATTAAAGCAAATTAGTCTTCATTGTATACAATACTTATTTTTTTTTTTTTACTGTTTCAGAATAATAGGGCTTGGCCACCTTTTTATATCTTTTAGAGTTATAGACTTAAACTCTCCCCATATCCTAAACTATTTTTAAAGGTTGCCTTTTTTTTCTAAGGAACAGGCTATTCTGGCTCCAGATTTACAAAATTTAATATAATTGTAGATCTGTACTTTATGGATTGTAAAAGCCAAACACCTATTCTTTGTTTTTATCAATAGTAGTTTTGGTTAAGGAGAAACAGATGATAAACTTTAATTGGAAATCAATTGTGAAATTTTGTGTGTCCAGGTCAAACAGCCTTCATGGAGAGTGTTACAGTGGCGCCTCCTACTAAAAGATTAACCCCTTAATTAATTAATAATGGTAAATTGCTGACAATTAAAAGACATTCCTTACTTATCCCCATGGAGAGAGGCAATCTCCATTAATTTATCTATCTCCTAGAACTGTACGGGACCTTGAAAGGTCATCAAGTCCAGTCCCCTGCCATCACAGCAGGACCAAGTACCATCCCTGACAAATTTTTGCCCCAAAATCCCTAAATGGCCTCCACAAGGATTGAACTCATAACCTTGGGTTTAACAGGCCAATGCTCAAACCACTGAGCTATCCCTCCCATGTTAGCCTAAAACAATTCAATATGCAGAAATGGGTTTTCAAAGGTAATTAATCCATGACCAAGTTTCCACATCTTATTTTTGAAGTTTTAAATTTTTTTGTGCAATTTGATAACTTTCCCACAGTCCATTTTTTGTGCATGTCTGATAAAGTAGGAACTAACTTTTTATTGTTTCTCACTCAAACACTTCAAGGAACTTAACTTTGTACATACAAGTGTTTTTTTTTTTCACTCTAGGGCTGTATGTAATTATGTAAGATTAAGGCCTCAATCCTGAAACTTGTATGTAAGTGAACTGCTGCAGCAGCAAGGAGTCATACTGAGTTCTGTGGTGAGGCAGTTTTCACTATCTACTGTCAAATTGCAGGATTGGGGTGTGATAGTGAATCTGCACAAATGACTACTAGAAATTGACATACACTCAACTGGTCTTGTTACCTATGCATTAGGAGAAGATCATAGTGTAATATCAAAACAGTGGTATTACCATATTCTACTTTTGATTTTTGAACAAAACACACAGATTTCAATGACAACTGAACATTGAATAAGCACTTATGCCACCCACTGATTTCAGTAGACACACAAGCCAGCCCAAAGTTGGTAAAGTATATATATAGTTTTATTGGCTGTACAAAAAACTGGTGAATGGTGGTAGTGATGCTCAGGAATGGCTGAGAGTATTAAAGTCCTGAGAAACCAATACCTAACTTTACACAACGTTTGTTTTGAAAGGTGTTGTGATAAGGTCTTGTCATTGTATTGCTTGGTTTCCGTTTAGGTTACACTTAAAAGCCTCAGGTCATGAATCCTGTCTGTGACACATGTGTCGATACACTGGCAATACAACAGGCTTCATTTTGGAAGCATAACAATCTATTGGGCTAGAAAAGATTAAGATGCAAAGAAATTAGTGGCAATGAGCTGCTATACTGCCACAGTTATCAGAGGGTGTGTCTACACTATAGAGAACGATCAAAGCTGCTGTTGTCCATCTTTCAGAGTTTGCATTAGTGGGTCTAGTTAAGACAGCTAATTCGAAGTTTCTCCTGTCGATGCCAATAGTCCTGCTTCCATGAGTAAGGGAAGTCGAAGGGAGACTGTTCTCCCTTCGACTTCCTGCAGTGTGGACAGTACCAAAAGTCAAGTTAAGGTATTTTGATTTCAGCTACCTAATTAACATAGCTGAAGTTGCACAGCTTAATTCGATCTTGACCCGTAGTGTACACATACTCTGTTTAGTGAGGAAAATATTTTGATAGCTTTCATTAACCAGTACTTTTAATGAATATAATACTGAATAATGGAAGATTACAGCCAGTGCCCCTAATTAAAGAGAACAAGGGCAAGTTTTGCACTGGCAGCTACATTGGCAATTATTTGATTAGGGAGAGGAAAATAAGCAACTTTTCTTTTCCTAGCTGAACAAATAATCAGAATATTTCACTCAAGATGAGAGAGGGCAACCACTTTTCTTTTTTTTTAACAAAGTTAACAAATATAAAAAATCTAGTCATAAACAGCCTTCAAAGTACAATTAGAAACCAACCGGAGAATCTACATTTGTATAAGTAGATGGGACAAGAAACTAGACACTTATATTACTGCCATGATGTAGACTACAAAATGGCTGTGGTGAGGAGAAACAGTGTATACAGTATATGTATTAGCTGATTCCATCCAGTCACAGTCCAAACTGAACTCTACTCTCTTCAGGATTCAAGAACATAAATGCCTATGCGACACTCCTGGCACAAGATGCATCATCATCCTTTTGAAAAGAGGCAGTTTCTATGGCAATACTAGTTAAGTGCATATCATGCTGCACTAATATAGTGCAAAAATTTGCCTTACATGTAGCAAAAAAAGATGCAGGCAACAGTTTGAGAGTTAGAGAAAGTAGAAACATATTGTAACATTTACACCAGGTATTCATTTTTTCCAGGCAGTAACCACTATAAAATACTGAATCTGAGGATGTGTTTCCTTCCTAGATACTTGTGCATATGACACTTTGGAGTGATAATAGAACAGAGTCTGGCAAGAGAGTCTTTGCCCTCTGAAATGCAGATTAACACAAGCTACCATCAAATTGCCAAGATGCTGAATTTGTTCAATCTTCTCAGTTAACATCTTATTAAGCACTAAAATGTTCTTTAACAAGTATATTATTGGACAGAATAATACATATGCGTCAACTGAGTATATAAGTTATGCTTGACTATAAAGAGTTATGGATAGCTGGATACAAACTCTTCATGCTCACTGACTATACTTGGTTAATGGTGCAGGTAAGTCTGACATCAGGGCTCTCAACTGAATACTAACTCAGCCACAGTGGTTTGGAGACTGAAGTGATTGACAGTTTCAAAAAAGAAAAAAAAAACAAACATATTTCCAGTTGGCCAGAATTCTCTGTGCTCGTGGTTTAGAATAAAGCAATGCCTTGAATATCCATGGCCATTATGAAAACTATTGTTCTTTGTTTTACAGCACGGTTCTTAAAAAAACAAACGATGTCTAAAATCCACTCCGTAGCATGCCCTTGTGCCTCTGGACACTCTCTGATTTCAAAACAGTAATGTAGAATCCAGTTGCAATGGAAAGTTATATTTTACATATCTGCATCTCCATCATAAGCCAGCGTTAAAGGTTTCAGTCGATTGTTCTGCCTTCTCTGGGGTTTCTTTGGCTTTTTGCTGAAATGATTAATTTAATAATGTTTTAAAAAAATAAATTATTTAACTTTAAAATGAATCCCACTCTATGAATAGTTCCTATACCACATTAGGGTTTTTTTTTTTCATTTACAAACTGGTTAGTTTATTTGTTGGTAAAATATGAGTATATAAATCCTGTTTCATCTGAAATAACACATTAAACATCCAAAAGCCACAGCCTCTTTAAATACCACATTTTTAGAGACAGGATGAATGTTTGAATCTAGATTAGGTTTTGATTCTGACACATGATTGTAGTGAAACATGTATGTGATTGGAAATTTTGCATGATCATATTATGTTAAGAAATGACCTATATTTTGAACGGTGTTTTGCTCTGTGCAAAATGTTGGCGTTCTCACAACAAGTCTCATTCCAGCGGTAGATGTTATTCAGAACCGAATATCTTAATCTTCCCTGACATTTTAAGGGAGTTCAGATTTGAGGTTCTGGCCCATCACTGGTGCTATTCTTTTGTCATTAATCTGAACATGGTACCTGAAATTTATCATTTACATCTTGATGTAAATGCCTATTGCAGTACCTATACCTGTGTTTAGCAAGCAGTTTTTCGCTAGTGCATCTTAATACATCCTCCAAAATACATGTATTTGCAGCAGTGGATATATTAATTCTAAATGGTATCACCATATAGGGAGTATCTATGCTGCATGGTTACCCACCTTCTAGTTAGCATTACCTTAGATTTTAATTTAGTAGTGGTTTACATCCATTTGGCACATGGGTAAATATCTTCCAATTCAGGAGGCTCAAGTCCAATTTGTTTGTGAATTTGTATCTTAGATTAATATGTATAGCCCTAATTGTTAGTTTGGCACAGGGGTAAATATCTACCAATTCAGGAGGCTCAAGTCCATTTTGTTTGTGAATTTGTATCTTAGATTAATATGTATAGCCCTAATTGTTAGCTTGTCTTGGGATACCCCATGAAGCTTTAAACCTTTCTTATTTTACCCCATCCCCGCACTGCAGGACTCCTCAGACAGCTAGCTCTACCAGCTATGTAGTTGCTTTATGCCAACAGACTACTGTAATGAACTCACCACAGAGGCAAAAATCTGGCCCACAGCATGTGGAACAAACATATAGGAATATAACAACTCAGCCCCTGGTAAATTGATACATCCGCTTTTGGTTACAAAATTTAAGCACCCTGATATACCTCTTGGAACCATTCACAGGGAACCTCCATTAGATTAGCCTTACCTGGGTACTTTTTTGGGTTACAGCTCCACAAACAAAGCTGCTGGGATATTATTCTAGGTGTTAAGAGTGATTTTTAGTGCAAGCAAACAATGTCTCCAATGCAACCACCTTTATGTGCTCACAGCTACTGAAGACATCTTTAATGGGGCTTATATTTGTAAAACAATATTTTTTCCAAGCCCCAAGAAAGTTAACACAATGGCAATGGCCATTAATCTCATTTGGGCCAAATCATATGCACCCAAATTCTGAAGGCTGTATATTTGACGTAGTTCTCATATCTGAATCAGATTCAGTGAAATGCTCAGTCCATGTGTCCCTTGTTTGTTAAGGAATAATTTAAAAAACTCACCAGGCTAGATAGATCATAGAAACAATAAAGATGAGTAAAACAAATGCGCCAGCAGCTACACCATAAACCCAGGTCTTCAGCCTCCCATCTAAAAAGAATGAATGTTAGTCGTTAGTTTACAGGTTAGTCTTGTTGCATTGTAAGCTAGAATAGGCTGCACAGGCAGCATTAAAGCTTAATATGTATAAATGTTATTAGATTACTTAATTTACAGGCTTGGTTAAATACACTCTCAGCCTTGTCAGCATGAACAGTAATAGAGCAGGTTTGGTTTGATTCACAAGTGAGCACTGCCTCTCACTGTGAGCAGGCCAGCCACCAAAAAGGCCCAGAATCTTGTTTACATTTTGCATTTTGTGTGAATTCATAGACTGGCTGCTTATCAGGACAAGAGCAGGTGGACATGGGAGAAACTGGGTGATATGAACCTGCTCAACTGAGATCACTGACAAATTACCAGCCTCTATTTATGGTGAAGGGTATTTTAAGTGTTACTCTCCTCACTCAGGAGAGATGGGAAATACCTTAAGTACAACTTTTAGTTTGGAAAAAATAATATATATGTTCTCACTTTCACATTGGTTTTTCTCTTTTTAAATGGCATTAGTGACCACACTTTGTTTTGAATATAACAGTTCTCTTTGCTGCATACGTACATGTTGATCCTCTTATTTCTTCCTTTTAATTGCATTGTTGGAACATCTTCTTTCTTCCCTTTACCCCAGCTCTCCATACTTATTATTGGCCTATAGAACTAGTCTGCTGTTATCAATGGCTGTGTCCAGACTCAGGGGTTTTTTTTCGAAAAAAGTAGCCTTTTTTCAAAAAAACCTCACCTGCGTCTAGACTGCAGCCGCGTTCTTTCGAAATTAAATCGAAAGAATGCGGCTTTTCTTTCGACGGTGGCACATGCAGCTAATTACAAGGCATATCATATTACCTCTTTTGCCCGATGTCAAACAGGCTCTAACAGCCTCAACTGAACACCCCACTCATCTGTGGAAAAAGAGGGAGAAAGCTGCTCTCATCCTCTAGTGTGTTGTAGCTGAAAGTTCTGAATAAACCTTGCATAAGCTAGGGTACCCTGTTGTAGACCAAAAGTGTTGTTAATGCCTTGTCCCTTTTTAACTTCGGGGAAAGTTTGCAACTCCAGAAATGTGAAGGTGGAAGCTGAGCCTGCAAAGATTCCATGATCTGTTGAGCCCCAAGATGCATTTCAGAAAAGCTCAGAGAGAAGAAATTATTTATTTCTATTTTCTTTTTAAAAATACATTTGGGTTTGAACTATTTTGACACTGGGACTTTTTCTTTCTGAGCTAGGTCACCTGCCCCTACAATGAATCTAATATTTGAAAACAAATTCTTATGCAATAGGCCATGGGAATAGTGAGTGGCTTGTGGCTATCTTCAATGGGCTTATTTTGCCCTAAGACACATTACATCTTATACCACCCAATCACATTCATGTGAATTATTTTACAGACACAGGGTCAAATTGTGCCTTGAATATACCATATACACACCAGGACTGTCAGTAGTGTGGTATAAGATGTAATGTGTCTTCGGGCAAAATATGCCCATTGAGGATAGCCACAAGTCACTTACTGTTCCCATGGCATTGTTTTAAATTTCACACCAGCAAGTATTGGTGAAAATGAGGGCTTCAAACCAACTCTTTACAGTGTTTTGATAACATCACAGAATCAAGGATCTATTTCAATGCAGGCTTCCGGGGAACTTGTTACAGTTTAATAATGATAAACCTAGTCACACTAAGTTTGCCTTTTAAACTTGCCAGTAGCCTTCCATGCTGCTGCACAGGTAGGTATGCAGATTTTATACTACCTAACAACCCAGGGCCTGGTGCTGGTAGTCATCGGACTACTTGATTTAGACTAATTAATACAAAAACATTTTTGCTGGACTAATAAAATGGAATAACCTGAAGCAATGAAACAACTGATCCATTAAAGATGGACTAAGGCAGTAGATTTGCCCTGACTTATCCAGTATCGGAAGTGATAGCAATTCAGATTTCATTATGACTGAAGTGTTTAATGTCTTCCTTAAAGGGTTATTTATATTCAGCAAAGTGTAAGCAGCAGCAGCAGGGGGAATCACTCACAATTTCTGATATGTTTTTAATATACACCTAATACAAAAGTTCAAGTTCTATAATGTTAACTGGAAATTTGCAATAAAGTGCCTAAAATGATTCTTTCAGAACTAATGGGGTAATTTTCAGGGATGGGAGATTTATATAACTGTTTAACCAAAATTGGAACTGAATCAAATAAACCTGAATCTGACTCAGAATTCAAAATATGCTTGCTTTTTACTTGTGCACCCTCTTTCCCTGATTTTCATCAAAAGTCGAATTTCCAAAACAACAATTTTTTTTGTGCAATTCATGTTTCACTTGTGATAACTGGTATTTCCGTTTTAGCTGAAATCAGGAAGTACTGGAAATGTTGTAAAATCCTGATATTGCAAGATTTCCAAATCAGCTGTATCTGATTAGTCTCAGAACCGATCTAGGGATGAACATTCGTGTTTCTAGATGTTTTTTTGAATAAGATTTTCTCTCACTTTTAGGTAATAGCAATTGATTGAGATTTTAAAATAGGTCAATTGGAACAGCTAGCCATCTGTACATTTAATGAAACTCTTTGATGTGACTGAATGAGGTAGCATGTAAGAAATATGAAGTACTTATTGAGGGAGCACCTTTTTTTATTAAAGTTGTTTTAACGGTGGCCCAGAATAGGTGTGCGCATGGGGTGTGCCCAGGCACACCCTAATGTTTCAAAGGGGGCGTGAGCAAAGGAGCATGCTTCGGTGCTCTGGGGAATGGACACCGTGCTGGGTTTGCCCGCATGCGTGGCCAAAACCGGTGGGTCTTAGGACCCCAAGGAAAGAGGCGACAGGGACCCAGCCGCCCCATCAAGCGAGGTGAGTTTACACCCCGGGCGGGAAGGCGGGGGGGTGGAGCATGCCCTGGGCACGGGAGCGAGTGTAGCATGGCTGGCCCCGGGGACCGGGGTTGGGGGCAGCGTGGCTGGCCCCAGAGAGGGAGGGCGGGGGGCAGTGCGGCTGGCCCCCAGCCCACCCTAGAGCTGCTTCCCATTCCCTCTTCCTCCCAGCCAGTCCCTGCCCCCAAGCCAGTCCCTCTTCCTCTCTCCCCCCCCCACGATCAAGTGTGTCTGTTTTTTGGGGGGAGGGTCTACCTGGCAACCCTACAACTCAGACCCAGTGTAGGCATCAAGTGATGGGGATTGCTGGAACTTTAGGAACCAGAGACTGCGGGGTGGGGGTTTGTGGCCCAAAAGGGGGCTGAGAAACCTATGAAAGACAGAGTAGGGGGAGCACCAGAAGGGTGACAGTCAGGGTGACCCTAGAACTCTGTTACAGACCAGCTGGCAATGAGGAAAAGGACATGGGGGGAGGTGTCAGTGAGAGGGGGACAAGGTGAGGTGCTGGGAGAAGGCTTGAAAGAAGGGGTGGGCATGAGGAAGGCAGGGATGGAACAAGGCATGTGTGAGGGCACAGGGGCATGAAGGGACTGGGGGTAGAGGGTGGTGAGGGTGCGGGCATCAGGGAAAAAGAGGGCAAAGGGGACAGAGGCAGTGAGGAAAGGGGGAGGCACCAGGAGGAAGGTGCAGAGGCAGGCACCAGGAGGTGAAGCAGAAGGGCAGGCACCTGCAGGGGAGGGACCAGCACCAGAGGAGAGAGGCAGGGCGGGGCAGAAGAGAGGGGGAAAGGGGAGGTTTGGGAGAAGGCTTGAAAGAAGGGGTGGGCATGAGGAGAACGGGGGCAGAGAGTGGTGAGGGAGTGGGCATCAGGCAGAAAGAAGGCGCAGGGGCAGGCACCAGGAGGCTGCAGGTGCCAGGGGATTCCAGGGGGTGAAGCAGAAGGGCAGACACCTGCAGGGGAGGGACCAGCACCAGAGGAGAGAGGCAGGGCAGGTGTGTAGAGGGAGGTGTTAGGAGAGGGGAAGCTCACATGATCAGAGTGGGGCTACTGGAGGAGTGGGCACAGGGGGGAGAGAAAGGCTGGTGGAGGGGGGCAGGTCTCAGGGAGGCTGAGGGCAGTGAGAAGGGCAGGAGTCAGGACAGCAGAGGGGGGGGAGTGGTTGCGGGGGCAGCAGGCACCAGGGGAGCTGATGGAGCAAGCAGAGGAGACAGAGCAGCAGAGGGGAAAGGTAGAGAGGTTCATAAGATATTTATTAATAACTTGGGTGCCACAGTGGCACATCCAAACAAGCCACAAACTCAGTACTGGTGCACAACACAAAATTTATTGTGCTCATGGGACGAAACTTTTAGAGGGAACACTTCCCCCAGCCTCTCCATCTCCCCCCTCCCCCCGAGTTAATGTCACACATATTGGGTTAATGCAATTGCAGGATAGTTGCGTAAGGGGGGTTTGGTGAGGGCTAAACTAATCCCTATTGGTAAGAGGATGGTAGGAGATCACATGACACCTTTTATTTCTGGTCATGTGTCCATATTGCCCCGAAAGTGTTACCTCCAGAGGTGTGGCTAATGGGGGTCAAAGTACATTTTAAAAAAATTCTTTGAGTGCACACCCTAATGAAATGTGCTGCACACACCTATGTGGCCCAGTACTTAAAAGTATTGACTCTTTGGAGTAGGGACTATATTTTTGTTGTGTGTGTACTGCACCTAGCATAATGGAGTCCTGGTACTACTACAACACAAAACAACTACTATTGTGTTGCTCTGATAAGATCAGGCTACAAATATAGTTGCATCCAATCAAGATAAACTGTTCATCCACCATGTTTCTGCAGTTGTCAGTAGCAAATTTAAGTGACGAGGCAGATACTTTTAGGTAAGATATAAGCATAATAAAACTTTCAGAGGAAAATCTGACCGCTAAAATAGTCTACAAACAGCAACCACACTAGTGGAAGCAGTGAATAGAAAAGCCATTGAGGTCCTTGTCTTTAGAGAGTCTTCCGACCTTCTGACAGTCATGTTCTTGACCCTGATACCCTAATTTGTTTTCCAATAACTGAACATGAAAACATAAGAATGGCCATACTGGGTCAGACCAAAGGTCCATCTAGCCCAGTATTCTGTCTTCCCTCAGTGACCAGTGCCAAGTGTCCCAGAGGGAGTGAAGAGAACAAATAACTTGATCCCTCTCTTGTCATCCATTTCCAGCCTCTGACAAACAGAGACTAGGGACACCATTCCTAGTGAATAGCCTCCATGAATTTATCTAGTTCTTTTTTGAACCCCGTTAAAGTCCTAGTCTTCACAACATCCTCTGGCAAGGAGTTCGACAGGCTGACTACACTGCGTAAAGAAAATCTTCCTTTTGTTTGTTTTAAACCTTCTACCTTTTAATTTCATTTGGTGACCCCTAGTTCTTATGTTATAGGAACAAGTAAATAACTTTTCCTTATTTGCTTTTTCCACACCAGTCATGATTTTATAGACCTTTCTCATATACCCCCTTAGTCTCCTCTTTTCTACAAAGATTGCTGTGAACTGTAACTGTTTTCCATTCTTTCACAGTATTTTCCCTCTCACTGGTAAATTTCAAACAGGAAGTATCAGGGAAGAAAATCTTATCCCTTCTGTAATATATGGTTTAATTTAAACATACCGATGCAGCAGCAATGAATGGTGGGGATTATTTGTGTCTCTTTCCTTTTGTTCAATCCTTGCAGATGACTGCCTTCTTAAACAAACATTTAATGGCTTTTGGCATCAGTGCAGCTTAAATGCCAAACCCTTTGGCAGTACTTAGCATTATTAAGTTCTCATGTAATGACTTCACCTGGCCCGAAAGGCTGCAGAAACCAGGTCCTTCCTCGTCCTGACTGGTTACTGGATGGCTGGGTGGGATTCACAGCTCGACTGGTTTTCACATCTCCTTTTTTGTCCTCTGTGGTGGGGATCACTACCACGGGGATGAGCGTGCACTCCTCGAGTGTGCCATCAGAGGACATTACTTCAGTGTATCCTTCTTCACAGCCACACGTTCTAGTCTGTAAGGAACAAGTGTTTATGCTGCGTAGCAGAAACACACAGCTTTCTGAGTGCTATAAATCATGACAACATTGATGACTGGAAGATTGTTTTGATGAGCGTTAGCCTGGAGGGCAGGCAGCTCTGAATGTATGTATTTGTGTGGCATCACCTAGTTTAAATATTTAATGGATGGATTAATTATTTGAGGTTGATGACAAAAATTCTAGTCAGAGGTCTGAAAATGCTTCACCAGTAATGATTGTATGTGCAAAGTATTTTCAAAACTAATGAGGGCCTATGTACTATGTTTCATTATAAAGTCTTTTAGCCTTTACTACTGTTGTGTTGTAGAGTACACTAATGTACTGAAACAACATTGTTCCGATGGAGTGACACATACCTCACTACAGTAAGAATGGGGTTGATTGCATGGTGGGTTACATGACCTGTCAGCATCTGGTTGACGCATCACTACACAGCCCCCTGTAGGATAGAAAATCAGATTTTGACATAAGAACACCTCACCCCCGGTTGAAATTACTGGCTTCAACCATGAAATGGCACTTGATACAGCATGTCACACATTTTTTTTTAAAATCACAAGGTATTTTCTTGCTTGTATGAACTTAGGATGATACTACTGTACCAAAGCAGGAGGAAGATGGTTTTCTTAGTCCTGCATTAATTCTTGTAGGCAGAGTGCAGCATCTGTAAAATTTATTTGTATTGATCTGCACTTTATAAGAAGGTGTTTGACATGCTACATATCTTTATGTACCTTTTAAGGATTGCTCAACCCAGGGATAATGCTTGTTTGTGTGTAGGGGGCTGCATTTTGTTTTTCAATGGGTAATCATGTTCATGGCTCTAACTAGACAGCCAAGAAAAACATCATGCAATTTTTCTACAGAGTGCTTTACATGGGGAAAACATTAAAGGTCTTTTTTTCTCCTCTGCATATTTTGTCTTGTCTTAATTTATCTAAAAGGTCAATCTCTCTCTGAATTTCTAAACATGGGGGGGGTGGGTGGGCAGGGAGATGTCTATGGTGCTCCCTTGCCAGTTATAAAGCAGCTGTTACGGGGTCAGGTTTCTTGAGGATAGAAATGTCCTAAAGGAGGACTGAGAGCAACATAAATATTGAGCCCTTTGCCACTAACAGCTCCATTTTTCCAATCCTTTGCTCTTAATGGAAATTGTCACCCTTATTAATACAGGCTTATGTACAGTACAAAGCTATTTGTTATGGACCAAGACACAATCAGGCTTTCAGCATCATTTCAGCCACAACTCTTAGCCATTTACTCTCAATAAAGCCAAGCACACAGATTCTTTCTGTCCTGGAAAAGATGGCAGTGTACCAAGCAGGATACATTTTTTTTACATGTAGAGGTCACCCATTGCAACGTGCTTGCACTATGCCCCAAATCCTCCAAAAGTAATTACACTATTATACTGGTGTGAAATGATGGTGAAATTCTGATAAGTGACTGTGGTCACTCCCACAGAGGATGCAGTTAGAGGCAGTTTTTTATAGCCATGGGTTAAGAGGAGGGCTGATGATGAACAAAGGAAACCCAGCCACAAGAAATGTTGCCCACCCACAGGGAATACCACATGCTTGCAAGCGCTCATGCAACAAAGTATCAGTCCTCCAGAGAGCTGCTGAAAGAAAGAGCTGCCTCATCACTCATTTCAATCTGAGCTAAAGAAGCTATGAAAACACCATCCTAAATGAATAAAAACAAACAGTTCAGAACTATATTGGGTCAGAATAAATCTGCACAAATGAATACAAATGGAAATATAATTTACCATTATATTGGGTCAGAATACAAATGGAAATATAATTTACCATGCAACATTTGAATATATAGGAATGAAAATAAACTATTTCTTAACCCATCCAGCAAGATGGCAGCTGCAAAGAAATACAGAGCTCTCAGCAATGGGATGACACCAAGCTACATTCTGTTGTTACAAGTGCAACTCCAGTGAAATAAAGGCTGGGGGCCAGTGTCTGTTTCTGAGGGCAGATTTGGTCTCTTAATGAGCTCTATGTGTGGTATTGGAAAGCATACCTAACACTTTGAAAATATGCGTGGTAGAACTAAGAGTTCCAATCTGATCCTTAAGTCTTGTATGTTCAATAGAATAAGAAGTCTCCTGAAGTCCTATTGGTCAATCAAGTGCTTTGCTCCATCAGGACCAGAAGCCCATATAAGATTTTATTTAGAGCTGGATGGAGAAAAATAATTCAGTTTTGGATGATTTCTGTATTTCCAACTTTGGAACAAAGCTCTCTACCTACTAGGATAATTAAGTACAGGACTAAGTTAGGAAGAGAGTTAGTGGAATCCTGGCAATGGAGAGTTCATAAGAACAGGTTAAACAAACAGGTGTCAGGGATAGTCTTGGATTAAGTCCTGCCTTGGTCCAGGAGGGTGGCCTAGCTGACCTCTCAAGGTCCCTCCTAGCCCTACATTTCTTTGATAAAATCCAAAATGTTTAGAAAATCTCTCTAAAAGGGAACAGAGCTCTGGCTCTGAGGCAGTCCACTGTGGAGCCATAGACCCTGGAAGCCTTGGGGTTCCTGGCAGGCCAGTACACAGACTAGCCAAAGCTGATTACCCACAAGCCTGAGAGAAAAGTGGACCAGCCGAGAGGAAACCAGGCAGATAATCATCAGTAGTGCCAGAATAAACCAAATAAAAAAATAAGATGTGCCCCCCACAACTTTGTTTACAACCTTAGAGCTTCCCAATGGATTTAATTTTACAATAGTGCTTGTAAAATCCTCCACAAATCCTTGGGCAAGGAGGGGGTAGGAGGGTGGTGGTTCTGCACTCCCAGAAGGGGTGGGTCTGAGGACAGCTGGCCCTCAGTGCTGTCCAGAGCACAGGATGCTTCCCCAAACCCTTAGTGCTGGCTTGCAGTGCATGGCATGGTGCTCTACTAGCATTTTCAAGGGCCCAGGGCTCCAGCTGCTGTTGCCACTGCAGCAGTGGGAACCCCAGGCCTCGTTGAATTGCCAGGCCTTGGGGCAACTGTCCACTTAAACACCCCTCCCCCCGGTCAGTGGGCCTAATCCAAGGATACTAAATTAAGGAAAAATGTACATGATCACATTACTGAGATTAAAAATTACATGAGCCTTGCAGCTGCTAACACAATTTTGTGTGGAATTATAATATGCCTGCAGACTGGACCTGCAATAACTTTGTGAGGAGGATACATTATAACATTTTTACCAATGCCAATTAACACACAAGAAACACAAATGGCTCCAAAGGATTATTAAAGCATTCTGTGGTGATACTACATGGATTAAAGTTCCAATGGCATGACATACAGTAACAGTTATTTCAGAATTATTCAGGTCTGTCATATCACCAGTCCATAGATTAAAGTTCCATTTGTATGTGTTCAGTGGAATACACATATCTAAGAATAAGTCAAGCTATGAGTCTGATGTACCTACATAAAAAAACCATACTACATTCTTCTTCAATTCGGAGGCCTCAGATTGTTTCTTAATTTACCTTTTTGTGTCTGCCTATTGCACCACAAATAGCAAAATATACATAGCAATGCCTCTTTAGTATTTTGAGGCAAAAGAATGAATTAAACCCATTAATCAATTCACTGATCTTATGTCAAATTCTTATTATTTTAACATCTTATACACCATGAAGTTGTCTCCCTCTGTGAATACATACATATGTGTATATGTGTGTGTATGACACACATATATTCCATACACACGATATACATATTTGTATAAAAAGATTTTTGTGTAATAGGGAAACTGTTGATATCTGAATTCTTAAAGCTGGTGTACGATGAACATTTTAGGCAAGTATAATGTAAAATATTCAGTTTGCAATGAGGAAGGCATTATTTTATAACAGTAGGTTTTACAGTGTCATCAGTTGAGTTTTGGAAAAAGATCTTTCAAGCACTTTCAGCCAGGGAATAATACAATGATTTGAAATAAAACTATACTAATACTGAATATTCAGTTACTCTGTATTGTTATCAGAAAATATAATGTCTGATAAGTATTTGAAATCTTTTGACAAGAGCAACAATGTCTCCACTCCTTTTTATTCTTTCATGGCCTGACTGAGCTCTATGTAAGATAAATGAAAATAATAGTTACCTGTAACATTTAAGCCATCTGTTCTTTGGCACCATACTGTCCGAGAAGATCCCTTCCATGGGCTAGCCATCCACTTGTATTCATGACACTGGCCATCTGCATGTAAAGCATTGACACTAACAAATAATGGACAAAGCCCCAGGAAAATGCCAGGTTATTTAGCACGGACAGATATCTCTAACAGCAAATGAGAGAGGTAAATAAAACTAGAATTGAGAAAAAAAATCACACTATACTGTTTTATACAAATCTTATTTTTATGCAGTTTTGGAGAAAGTTCAAATAAAACAATAGACCAAATATGCTTCTGAAATTACTATATATTTGATCTCCTTTCCCTCTGTTCTCATGTTATCTCTATAGCAATTTTTCTGTCCACAGAAGTATTTAACACTGAAAAACTGTACTGGTTCTATTCTTGGAGAATTTTCATGAATGAAGACAAAGCAGAAATAGACTACAAATGTTTAACTGTGTCCCGATTAGTTATGGCCACTGTATTGACCTTGATCTAGGTACATACAACTACTGTTCACTGCCCACAGCAATTTCTGTTCATGGTTCATAAGCAGTAAATGGTACTTAGGGTTTGTCTACATTAGAGCTGAAAGGAGTAAATTCCAGATGTACATTTCTAGTTCAGAGAGAGCTAGTGCCTGGATGCCTCCTTGAGCTAGCAGCTTCTGTGGCACAGAATCCAGCAAACAGAGTGGTAAACAGAGGAGTTTGAGTGGGAGTTCTGTTGGAGGAGAACTTTGAATTTGGTTTTGTATTTGTATTGTTTGTATGTGTAGAGGCAGTGTGCTACAAGAGAAGCTGAGCCCTGATTAGAGGGCGGGACTTCACTGATTAGCAGTCCTATAAAGGTAGCCATCCAGTCAGACTGTGGCACAGACAGCTGCTGCAGCACAGGAGCCAGCAAACAGAGTTGTAAACAGGGGAGTTTGAGTGGGAGTTTGTAAGGGGATTTTGGATTGTGGGACTCGTTGGGGTTTGTTTTTGCTGGGGAGGGGGGGCGTGTTTTGGTTTGTTTTTTTGTTCGCCGGACTAACAGGATTTAGGTGAGAAGGCTGATAAACACAGAGGCAGCAGTGGCCATGGCCCAAGTAGTAGAGGATACAAGGAGGATGATTGGATGTGGTAGCTTCAGTATGTACATGATTCTGGAAGGGTTACCTGAAAGGAGTTTTGTTTGCATGAAGTGCCACCTGATAGAGCTGATGGAAGAAAAGATCCGAGGATTGGAGATGCAGGTGAAAACTTTGGTCGAGTTTAGACGGGGGTTTGAGCAGATGATGGAGCAAAGTCATGAGGTGGCTGAAGGGGAAAGCTTAGACATGCAGATGGAAGCAAGATCAAAGGCCTCTGAGGGGAGACTGCTGGGCGAAGAAAATGGACAGTGGAAGCATGTGACTAAGAGAACCAGGCAGAAGAAAAGATGGGCCAGTGAAGGAGAAATAGAGCTCAAGAACAGGTTTGCGGAGTTGGAGAATGAAAAAGGGGTACAGAAGGTGGCCACTGAAGATGGAAGGGCAAGAAAGAAGAGAAGAGTGGTTAGTCCCATAGATAAAGGGGAAGAGTCAATGGAGACAACACCAATAATGAGCACCAGGAGAATACAGGATGGGTTGAAGAGGATTTCAAGGGAAAACAGAAATGGAAAGCATTTCTAGCTAGAGAAAACAAGAGATAGACCAGAGAATCGGACTGTCACCAGGAAAAGGCAGGTCTACGTGATTGGGGACTTCTTATTGAGAAGAATAGACAGGCCTGTAACTAGAGCTGATCCAGAGAATAGAAGGGTGTGCTGTCTGCCAGGTGCTAAGATACGGGATGTGGGAGTGAGGTTGGAGAGGATCCTAAAGGGAGCGGGAAAGAATCCATTGGTCATCCTTCATGTAGGAACAATTGATATGGCTAGATTCTCGTTGGAACAAATCAAGGAAGACTATGCCAAGCTGGGGAAGACTCTTAAGGAAATCGAGGCTCAGGTGATTTTCAGTGGGATACTGCCTGTTCCTAGGGATGGGCAACAAAGGTGTGATAGGATTATGATGCTCAATAGGTGGCTCAGGCAGTGGTGCTATAAGGAGGGCTTTGGGCTGTATGGCCACTGGGAGGCATGACTGTTCTCTAGGGATGGACTTCACCTAAGTAGGGAGGGAAATAGACTTCTAGGATGGAGGCTGGCTCAACTGATTAAGAGAGCTTTAAACTAGGAATTTGGGGGAGACGGTTGGGAGATGCCCAGGTAATCTCTACGCCAGATTTTAACACTGAGCGGGAGGAAAACGAAGTAAGAAAGGATATAGCTGGGGGTAGGATGGGCATAAGGAGGAAGGGTAGAGTGGATACTAGTCTAATAGGTCATATTGGAGGTACAATGTCCAGGCCAAATTGGCTAAAGAATGTGAGTGAGGCCAAATAGCAAAAATTAAGATGTTTGTACACCAATGCGAGGAGCCTAGGTAACAAAATGGAGGAACTAGAGCTATTGGTCCAGGAAGTGAAACCAGATACTATAGGAATAACAGAAACATGGTGGAATACTAGGCATGACTGGAGTACAGGTATTGAAGCGTATGTGCTGTTTAGGAAAGACAGAAATAAAGGTAAAGGTGGTGGAGTAGCATTGTATATCAATGATGCGGTAGACTGTAAAGAAATAAAAAGTGATAGAATGGAGAAGACAGAGTCTGTCTCGGCAAAAATCACAGTGGGAAAGAAAACTATTGGATCCTCCCCAGGGATAGTGCTTGGGGTGTCCTATAGACCACCGGGATCTAATTTGGATATGGATAGAGACCTCTTTAATGTTTTTAATGAAGTAAATACTCATGGAAACTGCGTAATCATGGGAGATTTCAACTTAACAGATATAGACTGGAGAACAAGTGCTAGTAATAATAATAGGGCTCAGATTTTCCTAGATGTGATAGCTGATGAATTCCTTCATCAAGTAGTTGCTGAACCAACAAGGGGGAATGCTATTTTAGATTTGGTTTTGGTGAGTAGCGAGGACATCATAGATAAAATGGTTGTAGGAGACAGCCTTGGCTCGAGTGATCATGAGCTAATTCAGTTCAAATTAAATGGAAGGATAAACAAAACTAAATCTGAGACTAGGGTTTTTGATTTCAAAAGGGCTAACTTTAATAAATCAAGGAAATTAGTTAGGGAAGTGGATTAGACTAAAGAATTTATGGATCTAAAGGTGGAGGAGGCCTGGGATTATTTTAAGTTAAAGTTGCAGAAGCTGTCAGAAGCCTGTATCCCAAGAAAAGGGAAAAAATTTATAGGCAGGTGTGTTAGACCAAGCTGCATGAGCAAGCATCTCAGAGAGGTGATTAAGAAAAAGCAGAAAGCATATAAGGAGTGGAAAATGGGAGGGATCAGTAAAGAAAGCTACCTTATTGAGGTTAGAGCATGTAGGGACAAAGTGAGAAAGGCTAAAAGTCAGGTAGAGTTGGACCTTGGGAATTAAAACCAAATAGTAAAAGGTTTTTTATAGCCATATAAATAGGAAAAAAACAAAAAAAGAAAAAGTGGGACCGCTAATCACTGAGGATGGTGTGGAGGTTAAGGATAATCTAGGCATGGCCCAATATTTAAACAAATACTTTGCTTCAGTTTTTAATGAGGCTAATGAAGAGCTTAGGGATAATGGCAACATAACAAATGGGAATAAGGATATGGAGGTAGATATTACCATATCTGAGGTAAAAGCCAAACTCGAACAGCTTAATGGGAGTAAATTGGGGGGCCCAAATAATCTTCATCCAAGAATATTAAAGGAACTGGCCCATGAAATTGCAAGTCCATTAGCAAAATTTTTTAATACATCTCTAAACTCAGGGGTTGTACCATTTGACTGGAGAACTGCTCAGGCTTCAGCTGATCGCTATATTTGGGGTCGGGAAGGAATTTTCCTCCAAGGTAGATTGGCTGAGGTCCTGGAGGTTTTTCACCTTCCTCTCACTTGCTGGAGGATTCTCTGCATCTTGGGGTCCTTAAACCATTTGAGGTCTTCAATATATGAGATATAGGTAAGAGAATTATTCTAGGAGAGGGTGGGTGAGATTCTGTGGCATTCATTGTGCAGGGGGCCAGCCTAGATGATCATAATGGTCCCTTCTGACCTTAAAGTCTATTTGCACTTTCCAGCTCTAGTGTAGCCATGTCCTTAGTTTTTTAAGCACTCTATAAATATTTACTATAAATAATATTTTAAACCCATAGACCTGACACTCCTTACATTAGCAAATATATATGAGGAGTAACTAAAATAAAGCACTAGTGAGAAATGAGGAAAAGACCTAGGGATGGCCGAGCCCTAGCCTTTATTTAAAGGAGAAGTCACTGGATATGAAATCAAGAGACCTTATGTGAGAGTTTGGCCATAAGTTACTTTATTTCTTGGTGCCTCTCTATTTCCCGTCTCACTCTTTGCCTATTTAGGCTGTGAGGTCTTTGATCCAAAGACTGCCTCTTAGAATATGTACATACAGTGCATAGACAACAGGGCTGCATCTTTGGTGGGGTCTTTAGGGACTACTGTAATTGAAATAGTCTATAATTAAATAGCAGCCCTCAGTAATTATTTAAAGAGGGAACAAGCCATTTTCCCCTGTTAGAGGTAACATCTAGTGCTAAGTAGGTGAAAGGTGGGATGACCAGTAGGAGGGTGGGGTGTGTGATTTTGCTTTCCCACTAAAAGTGGCATTTATATTATTTGTAAGCTTGGTGTTATTGGTCTCTAGCCAAACTCATAGACTCATAGACTTTAAGGTCAGAAGGGACCATTGTGATCATCTAGTCTGACCCCCTGCACAGTGCAGGCCACAGAATCTCACCCACCACCTCCTAGAATAATCCTCTCACCTATATCTCAGATACTGAAGCCTTCAAATAGTTTGAAGACCCCAAGATGCAGAGAACCCTCCAGCTGTGACCTGTACCCCATGCTACAGAGGAAGGCAAAAAACTTCCAGGGCCTCTGCCCAGTGTGGGCTGGAAGGATATGGACAAACTCTGGAAGCTTGAGTCAATGTCTAATTTCTGAAATATCAGAGGAACCATTAGTGTTGCTCCTGATCATCTGAAGGGTAGGAGTCATGCATACGTCTGGATGGAGGCAGGAAACAGCAACTAATGCATTAGTTGTTTCAGAGCATCCATGGCATGTCTGGGGAACAACGTGCTAATAATATACAGGTATCTGTTGCTAGGACTGGATCCACAAGGACGAGCAATTTGGGACTGGTTTAAATTGCCAGGTTCTGAAGAAAGGTGTATCATGACTTTGAAGGAGGCGAGCTGGCTGGAGTCTTGGATATAGGTGGGTCTGCTGCTGCAAGACTGGGCATGACTGCCTTCTGCTAGAGTGTTACCAACAGCAGGGGTGGCCTGAGGTGGGCTGCTGGCAGCTGACGTCCCAACGGAATGCACGATCGGCGCCCCTACCTCCACAGCCCTCAATGGCATGATGTCATCATTGGGCGCCCTGTTTAACGCAGCACTTTAGGCGACGGCCAAGTCAGCCTATACGCACGGGCCACCCCAAACATCAGTGCTGAGGGAGAATGCTCCCTTCTGTCCTTGTGTGAAGGTGCCAATCCTGATCTTTTCATAGGTTGAGTGCAGTGGTAGCTTTCAGTACCTTTGGTACTAGCCCATGTTCCCAGTGAGCTCTGTACACATCTGTTTTGGGGCCCAGAATCAGATTGACCCTGAGGGGAGAGAATCAGTCCTTTTCTTAGAGCACTTATGGGGCCATTTATTCCTCCTTTTATGGCCACACTTATCGTTTCCCTTATCATGCCTTCATTTGCTGGAGGAGTCCATTCTAGCGAGTGCCAGCTTCAGAGAGATGCCACCTGGAGGCTCAGGTTGGTAAGATGAGGAGCAGGATGAGATGAGAGATTTTTGCCTCAGTTACCCAAAGTGACTCACTAAACTCTAAATTGGAAAATCTGCAGAGAAACCTTGGGAAGGGGTTTACATTTTCTGAAATTACAAAATGCTCAACTGAACATAAATTGGGCAGTGGTAGTGTCAGGACCCTTTGACATGATGAGCACAGTGATTAGCTTTAGAAATAAGGCTTTAATTTAATAAAATTAATAATAGTTTAAAAACTGAAAATTCAGTAGTAGTTGTTATAGAGCGATGCAACAGAATGGGAGATTCCATTTCTAGAGCTAATAAGGGTCCATTGCATGTGATAGAGTTATCCTACTTTTTGTGATATAATTGTAAATTCCACTTCCTTTGGGGAATGATTCAACAAATCCCCCTAAGAATACACTGTAGCCTATAGAAACCAATGGGACTTCTAGACAGGAAGTACCTAGGGTTTATCTAAAGGTCAGTTGAAAAACTCTATAAAATCTGATTTTTCAGTCCTCTGTCAGTTCTAAGATGTTGATAAACATGTTGTTTCATGTGAAACAAAGAATTTAGTTCAACATACAACAATTCCTCTTGCTTTCAAGTTTTATTTTTATAAAACTGAAGGAATTTTTTTGTTATGAAAAGCTGTTGAAAAATCCAACAGTTCATTTAAAAAATGTTGAAATGTTTTGCAAATACAGCAGAATTCATGGAATGTTCCAGTTGACTGGAATCTATATTTTTTGTCAGAAAATTTAGTTAAAGAAATTCATTCAGCTTTCTGCGGGATATTTGGGCTGGATTCCCACCTCTGCTATAGACTTCCTATGAGAGTTTAGGCTTGTCTTTCACTTCCTCTTTGTGTCCCCCATTACTCATTTGTAGTACTTCCTTTCTCTCCTTTCTCTGTTTTGTCTGTTTAGATTGATGGGCAGAGAATGACTCTTACTATTAATGTGTATAAAACCAAGCATAGTGGGGACTCACTGGTGTTATTGTTAGTCAATTAATAAAAAATAATAGTACAAGGAGAATGAGAGAATACAGTGAATTTTGATTTGTTTTCATTTCTATTAAACATTGAGGCAGAGATGCTACTGGTTAGTAAATTTTGTTATAAATGAAAGTGAATTATTGAGGAAAGAATGAAAAACATTTTTGGAAAAAATTACCATGAAATTTAAGAACTAAATCTAGAATTAAAATTTAACAGGAGATTGGCATAAATTTGTGAAGTTTTTGGATGAAGTTACAAAGCAGCGGTTCACACAATTATTAACATTTACAACATTTTTCAATCTCACAACCAAAATTTGGCAAAGAAGCAGTCCTATGCATCTACATTACAATGGTGGTCACCTACTTTCTATGTTTTGATACTCACCATTACATGATCTTGTTTCCAAAGCCTGTTCCGGACACAGGTGTTGGTTTTCTAATTCCTGAATGATCACTGCCCGGGATCTGACCTGTATCCCTCCAAAGCCAAGATCTTCTCCATTTACGCAGGTCAGCTGACAAAGGCTCCATTCTGACCACTCTTTCAAGTAACAATCACCTTTCCAACAACAAGGATGTAACAAAGCTGAAGAGTTGATACTAGAGAAGTTTTTAATACTACCAGTAAATGCCATAGAAAGTTCTGATCCAAATCATATTCTCCCTCATTAATTACTAAAACACACTAGAACCATAATTATCTTTATCCTATGAAAAGTTGGTGTTCTGTTACCTATATTTTAATTTCTGTACAAAAGAAAAGATTCTTCAAGGAAACTGAAGTGTTACAAAATCCTATTTATGCCAGAGCATTCCAAGCACCAGTAGCATTTCCATAGCAGTAGTTGCTCTCGTTTTCAGTTTCTGAATGAAACTACATTCAGAGTTTGGGCTTTCACAAGTGAAGAGGTACTGCATGCTGTGTTCCAACCCAATTTTCCACATTATCTTCATTATATACTTCTCTTTCTATAAACGGAGAAGGTGACAATTTGTAGATAGCCAATTGGAAAGATAAGGTAAATTCTTGTTCATTCTCCTGCACTTGAAGTAAGTAGAGCCATTATTATTTAAACCAGAGATGGGGAACCTTTTTTGGGTCAGAGGCCACTGACCCACAGAAAAATCAGATGGGGACCACACACAAGTGAGAAACAAAATAAAAAACAAATAAACCCTCATTGATGTGACCCCTAACTGAGAAGGAGAAAGACACGTCTCACATTCCCCTTGCACTCCAGAGCCGGGAGTGGAGGTAGAGGGCAGGCTAGTAGATTTTGTGTGCTCCAGACCCGCAGTGGGCGGCTGGAGCACCAACACAAGCTCCCCAGTGCTGGGCAGGGGAGCCCTGAGCCTGGCTGCATCTGGCCCTTGGGCCTGAGGTTTCCCACCCCTGATTTAAATGTATTAGGGAAGTAGACCGGAGAAAGCTTTTACTGTGAGGAACATTCCTTGTAATAAATGAGAATAGCATGAGTGGCTTAAAATACCTTCTCTAAATTCCATGATGGTAGGATTAGCTTATGATTAGCTTATGGTTGAAAACAAAGGAATAAAATCACACAAACAAACATTAATTTGCACAACAGCCTGGAGAATACTAATCTGCAGCATGGTGTAAAGGTAATTTTGCTAATACTGCTGGGTAAAAGGTGTCTAGAAAATTAAACCACAAAAAGACTCATAAATGAGCCTCTTTAGCTTTAATTATTTCAGCAAAAAGACTATTAAAAATTCATGGTATCTTACATTATGCTGACAAAAAATATAATAAGCACCGTGTTGACCAGCTCACTAATTAATGAAGGAATTTTATTTGCTGACATTAAGAAATCATGTAAAGAAATGAATTATTGAACAACTGATGTATGTATAATCGGAAAGCAGGAAGTGATTTTTGGAAACCTTAGTTAGAGTGTACAATTAGCATATCCCCACAGGGTAGTTATTCTCCTTGGCTAAATGTGAGGTTGATCAACCAAAGGTCATTGTTCAGCAAAACTTAAAGGCTGAGCAATAAACAGCTAAATTTCTTTAATTTATTTTGTTTGTTAAATGTATTACAAAATGGCGTATCTAATATCCATTTTCTATTGGAATGCAGAACTGTGTGTTGACAATACATAATTCATTAATTAAAATATTAAATTTGGGAAACCTATAGCTGTGTCTCTGTACTGAGGCTAACGAGACTTTTAGTAAAAGTAGTGATATCACTGGTCAAAATCTCTCCTATTATCTTGGGTGCTCTATATCAGTAGTTCTCAGTATTTTGAAACTATTGTACCTCTTTCAGGAGTATGACTTGCCTTGAGAACTACAAATTTTATCTCACTTAAAAAACTCAGGCTTTGGGGTTTCAGTCCTGTACGTCCTGTCCAGTCCTGTCCCGACTTTCTGCCCTGGGCCCCAGTGAGTATGATGCTGGCCTGGGTGACCTCATTAAAATGAGCTTGCCTACAGTTTGAGAATTACTTATGTAGTATATAAAGCAGTATAAGCAAGTCATCGTATGGAATTTTTGCTTGTACTGATGTCGCTAGCATGTAGCCTGTTATAAAACTAGGCAAATATCTAGATAAGCTGATGTGCTCCTAGAGATCTTTCAGTGTATCTGCAGGGCTTCCCGTAGGCTTGGTTGAAAATCCCTGCCATATCAGCTGTCTGCTTGCTCTCATTCAAGGGAATGGTACTTATGCCCATGGTTTCAGACATACTGTTTGAGAAGTGGTGCAGGAGTCTTTGGGATGAAAAATGCTATGTCAATGAAATACCTAATTGCACTTTTAGATGGATACAAAACATTACTGCACCTCTTATAACTCAAATGGCTCAAAAGATTTCTAGAAAATTGCACCTTTGGACTGATACACTAAATTTTGTGCAAAAGGAATGGGTTTGAAAGAGTTGTGAAAGAATGAATATATGTGAAAGAATGAACATGCAGGCTTGGTATGGAATAGATAGTTGTGATGAGACTTGATTTGGCAGAGAAAACAGGACATCTATAGCTGAAATTTCTTGAGAACTGAAGGAGCTAATCTAAAAATAAAGCACTAATTACTTTACTAACAACAGCTACAATCTTGCCTCTCCTCCTTTTTGGAACTTACTAACAGGTTTTTAATTTTCAGAAAAACTGTAGCAGTTCATCTTTAACAGTTGTTATGGTCTCTTCTTCCTAATCCTTCTCAATATGAGGGTCACAGATCTGACAAACCACAACAGTTCCTTTTTTATATAGTCTGTTGAGTAAATGTGGGTGTCATGCATTTGTTGAAAGTGGAAGGATGACGAACAACGATATTTTCCTCAGGGATCAAACATTCATTTATCACAGTGTGATTTTATGTAAGCAAGCACTAAACCTCCTTGGGCTATTTCCTCAACTCCATTAAAAACAACCAAAAGTATTAGACCCTGATTTAATTTAATAGAAAAAGCTGTTCACATGCTTAAAAGGAACATTTAAACACTAAGCCCTCTATCTTTTGGTCAGTCTTTTATTTAAATATCTATGAAATGGAGTCTTCTCATATTCACATTACCATTTCATTTTCTGTGGAGTAAAATAACACCTTTTTTTGTGCCAGTTGTTGAAAAGTAAAATTCTAATTGGGATACTCTATGCCAAACATTTTTTAAAACATTTGTAAATTTATGTATTCCTTTTCCTAGTCATTGTTTTATCACAAAGTATGGTCACTCTTGTGAAACTACTAATAAAAAGTAATTCCTTCAATAGGCAAATGTCATAAAGACTTCACAGCCTGTGGCTAATCATCTTTTTTTCTTTGTATTGTAGGCCATATCAGGTTGACCAATCTTGAAATGCAACAACATATATCTGAACAAGTTTGTTACCTGGACAGGGTAGTGTGCAGGTTTCCTCAAGTACCATTTTCTTATTGTTATCAACAGTAGGCTCAATTTCTCCACAGAATTCATCATCTACTATTTTGCCAACATCTTCATTGGATCCATCATAGACCACACATGAAATGTTCCTGACTCTTGTCCCCTCTCCACACTGTGCATCCTGGAAAGGAAGGGGATGCATAAATGTAGCATAGAAAAAAAAGTCATTC